TGGGTCCTCAAGAAAGTCTCCAGGGGCCAGAGCAAGAAGTTCCAGTGACTGAGAGTCAGAAGAGGCTGCTGATGAAGGTCCACGTCAACACAGGCCATCCTCCTCTGCCCCAGTTTCTGAGGATGCTGAGGGCAGCTGGGACGCACGATCATATCCTGAAGTTCGTGAAGAACCAGTTCAAGTGCGACCAATGCAGCGTTCCAGGACAGCCGAAGACCCACCGGAGAGCACAATGTCCAAGGTCGTTTGCCTTCAACAAAATAGTGGCGGTGGACATTTTCTACGTCAGTTACAAGAACTCCAAGATCCCAGTGCTCAACATGATCTGCACCGGAACCAACTACCACGTGGTGCAACGACTGGAGGTGGAAGAAGGTCTGAGAGGTGGAACTCCACGGGCTTCAACTGTGTGGCAGCACTTCCTGGCTTCATGGGTCCGATTCCTTGGAGCACCTCAGATGGTCATCTCCGACAATGGCAGCGAGTTCAGAGGAAGGTTCGAGCGGGGATGCGAGGACATGGGCATTCTTCAGCATCTTGTTCACCCCGAACAACCCTGGCAAAACGGGCGTGCAGAGCGCCACGGAGGATGGTTGAAGCAAAAGCTGGACAAGGAGATCATGTCCGGTCAAGGATGCATCCTCGATGTCCGAGACCTTGACGAGCTGATGAACGGCATCACAAGCGCCAAGAACAGATGGTTCGCTCGCGGGGGCTACACGCCCACTATGCTGGTCTTCGGCGAACTTCCAAGAGTTCCGGGTGAGCTGATGTCTGATGACGTGCCCGGGATCCTGGGCCTGGATGACGCTCTGCAGGACCTTTCTGGAGCCGATGAGGCATCAGCAGAATTCAGAAGAAGGCATCACATCCGGGAGCGGGCTCGCCAATTGGCCATGGAGCAGAACAGCAAAGAAGCCATTCACCGAGCTGCCCGTGCTTTCACACATCAGCAGGTAAGCTGGGCTCCAGGGCAATGGGTGTATGTCTTCCGAAAAGGTCGCCAAGGTCAAGAATTACATCCTCGAGATCGATGGGTGGGTCCCGGAGTGGTTTTGCTCTGCAACAACTCGACGGTCTACGTGGCGATGAAGTCGAGGCTCTGGAGATGTGGAGTCGGCCAGCTGCGAGCCGCACTGCCTGCGGAGGTCCTCGGAAGAGAGCTTGCGTCAGACCCAGGGCTCACTGAACTGCTTCGCCAAGTCACATCCGGAGTGCACACCGGAGCAGTCGACGTGTCTCGTGAAGGACCACCTCCTCAACATGCCCTGGACTCCGGACAGATTGAGAAAGTAGACGGGGTTGGACAGCTACAAGAACCGCCACGACCATCAGCCGGGGCCTCCACTACGGCACAAGAGGCGCAACAGAGACCTCCCATCTCCGAGAATGTGGAAAGATCAGAGACCGCTGTGACACCTGGACTCCTACGAGGAGGAGAGTCATGGAGAGAGTTCAGGAGCTCGAGCAGGCCAGAGAGAGGTCTCCCCGGCGACAGAACATCACCGATGAAGAAGATCAGCTGATCTCTCAAGGCACCTCAGCTTCCTACTTCGCGCTCCAGTTCGAGGACGATGAGGGCCCCCAGCTGACGCTGCTGGCGAAGCGAGGAGATGAGGTGTCCCTGAAGCAGCTTTCAGAGCAAGAGAAGGAGATGTTCTTCAAGTCAGATCAAGCCGAGTGGGAGGCCATCCTCGGCACCAAGGCAGTGAAGGTCCTCCTCGGAAGGGCTGCCGATCAGGCTCGAAAAGAACATCCCGAGCGCATCATCACCAGCCGAATGGTGAGAAGGAAGAAGCCTCAGCCGGAACTTCACAGCTGGAAGGCCAAGTCTCGCTGGTGCCTCCACGGACACGTTGATCCAGACACCGGGGAGCTAGTGACCTATGCTCCCACTCCTCAAGCTGAAGGAATGGCCGCCTTTCTCCAGGTGGCCGTGAACCATCACTTTACCACCTCCTTCGGAGACGTGAAGAACGCTTTCTGCCAGAGCGACAGGCTTCAGAGGAAGAAGGGACCCATCTTCGCCGAGCCGTGCGAAGGCCTGAACCTGCCAGCTGGAGCGCTCATCGAGGTGTTGGTTCCCGTCTATGGGCTGGACGACGCCCCTGCGGCTTGGAGACAAACAGTAGTCAACTTTCTGACTCAAGAAGGGTATGTTCGTAATCTGGTGGAACCCTGCTGGTACTCCAAGTTCAATCAGAAGACCGGCGAGCTTGAGTCACAGATACTCATCGAGGTCGATGACATGATCGTCTCCAGCAACCCGGCCAAGCACCTGGAGGTGAAGAAGCTCCTCACCACACGATTCAAGTTCGGCAAGTGGGAAGACCAGGAGGCCGAATACGCCGGAAGGCACATCAGATGCTGCGACGATCGCATCCTCCTCGACCAAGGGAAGTACATCACCGAGCAGATCCACCCCGTGGCTCTGGCGCGAGGCCGCAGATCCCAGAAGAGCGAACGACTCAATGAGGAGGAGTTCAACAACTTCAGGTCCTTGATCTACAAGATCAACTGGGTAGGTCGTGAAACCCGCCCGGAAGTGGCGGGCACCGCTTCCATCATGGCAAGCCGGCTCAAGACTGCCTGCATCAGCGATGTCCTTACGGTGAACAAGGTCGTGAACTTCCTGAGGTCGACGGCTGATCGACCCCTGACCCTGTGGCAGTTCGAGCCGAAGAAGATGAGCTTCATGGTATGCAGTGATGCCGGAGGAGTGAACTCCAAAGAAGAGGCCGTGGACGAGATCGGCCTTCCGAGCGACGCCGCCCAGGGAGCCTGGATGGTGATGACCTGCGAGAAAATGCCAATCGGCACTCAGCCAGTGAAGGCCTCGCCAATCGCCTGGCGCTCCTCCAAGCTCAAGAGGAAGGTGTTCAGCACTTTTGGGGGAGAGACCCAGGCTCTGCTTCAAGGGGTCAATGAGGTCGACTGGCTCCAGATCATGATCCGGGACGCCACCTTTGGCGACGTCCAGCTCAAGAACTGGCGCAACAGTCTGTCGCCGCACATGGTCGTTATGAGGCATCAGGTTCACCTTCCACACCGGCAACCTCAATGTGCAGTCACCGATGCCAAGAGCCTATATGATTGCTTACTACGTGAGCATCCCAGCGGAAAGCAAGATCGCAAGTCGGCCCTCGAACTTGCAATCGTCCTCAAAGACCTCCAGGACACCAAGTCCATAATCAAGTGGGTGCCCCATCAGAAGATGGTGGTGGACGCACTCACCAAGGAGAGCTTCGACCGAGGGAGCGGGGCACTACTTCAATTTCTCCGAAGCGGGTGGATTAGCCTGGTTGATGTGTCCACTGAGCTCCTGAACCGCAAGGAAGATGCTTCTTTTAGGAAGCGGAGCTTCAAGGCCAGCTCCGACCGGCTCGCCCGCGAATACCAGCGGCAGACCGAGCTTTTTTGCACCCGTGCTTTGGCAACTCTAAGTTGGGGGAACTGTGAAACCAAGCATGAGGAACCATGCACCAGAGGTTGACCTGTTGCCAAAGCATGTCACTTTCGCCACCCGCAATTCGCGGTTGGCTCAAGCCCGAAACGCCCCGCAGGTGGAAAAGCTTCCTGCGTTTGCTTTTGAGCATGTGCTGTTTGTTCCATGGAACCTGCTAGAGCGACATCTTTCTTTTCCTAATCATCCCAATCTTTCCTTTTTCCTCTTACTTGCGCCAGGAGCGTGTCGCTTGTGACTAGTGTGCATGAATTCCTAATTGGCAGATAATCATCCCAATCACAGAAACCATCTTGTCTTCCAATCTCTTTCGTCTCTTTCCTTATCATCCCAATCATCTCAATCCAAAATCTTTCCTAATTTTGTCATCATCGCATCATCCATCATCAGGTCATCACCTTTATTAAGGGGATGTGGTCTCCAATACCTCCAATCTCCAACCTTGTTGACCTTGAAGGGGGGGAGGGGGGTTGATTCATCCTACGTCGACATGAGTGGTCTTTTGACGGAAGTTCCTGAAGACTTCGGAAGTTCCTGAAGACTTCGGTGGTGGCCAATAAAGCTGGCAATCCAGGGAAAGCATGTTCACACGCCGGGAGTTTTTGCGAACGGGATGGGGGATGGAAAGAGATGGAAAAAGGGTAAGGGTCAACCTTTAGTTCCAACGAAACGGTTCGGGAGTCAGAAGTGGATAACGTCTCATGGACAAGGTCGAGGTCCGACGTATTTGTGTCCGTTGCCACTGTCTCGTTACGTTCAGCGACCAAGACCTTTGCAGAATCATGAAGTATCATGCATTAGGAGTGGAAGAAGCAGGCCTGAGGTTTGCATTCAGAATTTAAGTTTGATGTTCCAGTCACATTGTGTAGAATCTTTACGTCGAACGTCTTTTTTGCGATGCAGACGTAGTAAAGCTCGATATATAGCTTGAAAACTCCAGGCAAGAGAAGTAAGATACAAGCAGGACCAATCTAAGATACCAATTGGGACGATGGGTCGAACGTCGAATACCAGCATTGTTTCACGTCCAAAGAATCCGATCCATTTTGCAATCAGATCTTCCGGGGCCAGCCGACCCACCAGTATGGATATAGTATACACTCCCTGAAATAGTAATAGAAGTGGAGTGAGTTCACCACCTAGTATTTGGTATTCAGATTTCATGGTCATCCAAGGGAGGCCATGCCATCGACTTCCATGATGAGTTCAAGATCCAGTGGATCCACCTTTTGGTAGCTTAACGGACCACTCCACAGACTCCAGTCATAGAGCCAGGGGCCTCTGTGGGGGGGGGGGCTCCGAGGTTCACACATTGCCATCCACTGTGTTAAGCCGATCTGAATGATGCCTGAAGCCTTGAAAACATCTCAATGTATATCCCTATTACTTCTGAAAGTCAAAGACTATGCTTAAAATGGTCGAACTGGATGACCCGAAGTTCGGAATGTCCTGAACACTTGGCCCAAAATCGTCGAACTGGAAGTACCTAGGGATATAGGTACTCGTTTTTCTATGTGTACACTGTGTACCTCAATAGGTGGAGAGCCCGCGCTGGCCCGCGCTGCACGCCGATGTCCAAGAGCCGATGTCCAAGCCTCCTGGGCCTGCCTCCCTAGGTTTCATCACATACCAGACACGGGCCCCACATGCCATACATGGTCTGTTTGGGTGAAAACTGAACACCTTGGGATTCCAAGATGCCCACCATATGTCAATTCCGAACAACGGGATTGATTTTACGGAGGATTTTGCACTAATTGATGCTAATTGCTAAACCAGGTCAACTGTTACTTTTTTTTTGAGTTGCTTTAGATCTCTCATCAGACAAGAACTCGTGGTCGAACCAAGGTCTTGGCCGCTGTCGACCGCTTGGGTTTTGCCGGCACGTATGCCGCCTTGGCAGAGTTGGCGAGTTCAAAGTTTTGGGGGAAAAATGGGGAAAGTGTCCATTTGCCTTGCATGTTCTTGCTGGAGCAGCTGCCTGGTCCCCAGCTGGCTCTGAAAGTTGCGAAAGGGACTCATTATCAAGAACAAGTTTCTGGGCTCGAAAATATCTGGTTCTCCCTCCACGGAAAAAAGAAAACAACAAATCCTATAGGTAGTGTGGGGTAGTCCATTGGACACCCCGACAGGAGGGTCCAGGCCTCCCGGGCTCTCCCAGTAGTTGTTTGCTCTCGCGCTGTCCACCTCGGCTCGAGAGCCGTCTACCACCGATGTCTCACGATCGGAGAACGCATCGGTCGATCGACATGCACGAACGATCGACGTCTGGTGGTCGGTGGAACCGGATTGTTTCGGCGCCCGACCTCCGGATCCACCCTAAACCCTAAACCTCTCCGAAGAGTTGACCTCGTGACCCTCTTTGTCCCGGGCGTTTCGCTCGTCCAGCCACGTCCCCGCCAAACCGACACACCGCGCCCCGCGCAAAACCGCGTCGCGCCGCGCGAGACCAGTCCACGGAACTTGCGCATCCACCAGTCCACGGAACCGAGGACTTTTTTTACCTCCCCATGAATCGTCGGCATCGACAAGGGATTGGCTATGCCTTCATCAATTTTCGTGACAAGGGCTTGGCCTGGTGCTTCAAGGAGGCACGCCTGCGGGGCCAGGTGAGGAGCTCCTAGCTTCTTGTTCCTAGCAGTAAGGTCTTGTGGCCTGAGAGCCTCTTCAGAGGATGGGTGAAGCATCTAGCAGTTCTAGCAAGAACCCCCGGGCGGCATGGGGCATGGATACAACCTTGGAGAAATCCACATTTAGGCATCTTTAGGCCCAAGACACTGGCAACGACGACTTTCTAGGACCTTCGTGAATGTGAGGTGCTCAAGGACTCTTTAGTATTTGACAAATTTGATCATGATCACCCATGCTGGTCGTCAAAGGGTGGACCCTTTGCAAACGCCGATTCTCACGGCATGGACCGCCGCTATATGTACCCCGCTTTCCACGGGGGCAGCCTTTTGATTTCGGAACCAGGGACCCGGGACCCGTTCGGTGTGTGGCTTGGTCTTTGGGAACCAATTGGGAACCACCGGAGTTGACTACGCAAGGTCTGCGGCGGACGAGTGCCGTGAAAGAAGCACGACCGATGGGACTGGAAGAGGTGCCTATACTGGCCTATACCATCTTTTCACTGACCCTTGAAACCACCCCAATGTATTCCAACGTATTTATATCGATATATATATATATATGCCATATATATATATATAATATGATAAAATGTAGTGGGGTTATATAGCTTGCCCGAGAAGAAACACCTGATGCTTTTGGCGAGCCCCACACACGCAAAGACCGTGTGGCTTGCTCAGTATTTGAATGGGAAGCAAAGAAAACCAAGTTCAGCAATCAGGCTGTCCTGGTTTCGTTTACGGGTTTGTCATGTTTTTTCAATGTCTTCCCCTGTGGAGTCCCTTCTGGACTCACGATCTCTATCCCATTTCCTTGAGCAAAGCTGTCGTGCAGAACCAGCAATCACTCGTGCTCAGTGCGTTTTCGCTTTGGAACTCTCCTCTCCTCCCTCTCCCTCCTCTGGTTCTCCTCCGTTTACCTCGCCATCTGGCGAGCCATTGGCAGGCCATTGGCGGCTACCAATTCCCTGGGCGAAAAAGCAAGAAGGTCGTGCACGTCGCCGTCGCGCAGCTCCAAGGACGACAGGAGGCGCCGAGTTCCTTCGGCCGGCCTCCGTTTTCGTCGTTGTCGGAGGACGGGTGATGTTTGTTATTTTTGATATGTTTGCCTGTTGTGCAGCTGTCGTGCTTTGTGCCTTTTGCTTTCAACCGCTGCGCCCCTGCACCCCCTGCAACCCCTCGCGCAAGGCCCACGGCACGAAAGTTTGATATACCTCTCCGATTGTCACAAAGAGACTCCCTTTGAAGAGAGTGACTCAAAGAGAGACTCCCTTTGAAGTCAGTTTGATATACAAAGAGAGTGACTCTTCCGAGTGACTTCCTTTGAAGAACGACGTGACACACCCTTGCAGAGCTCGTCCGTCCTTCCGATTCCAAGGCGGATGGGTCTCATCCCCTGGTTTCAGGTCACCAAAAAGGCCAATAGAAAAGGGCACTTGATGGGTCTCAGGTCGTGAACTCAATCAGCCGGTCCTTTTCTTTCACCCGGGACTCCAAAGCATCACGGAAATCATCCACACACTGAAGAAAGTTCACAGCACACCCTTCCCACGCTGTGCAAGGACGGTTTTGGGGGCACTGCTTGGAACCTCCCTGCACCAAAAAGGATCAGAACATCCGGCTAAGAGTATTTGTCAATTGTTTGTTTTCTGTAGACTCTCTAGACTGTGTGATACTGTGCAACAGCGAGTGAACACACAGGACGCCCAAACTGCTGTAAATAATGTGTAATAGTGAGATATGAGCCAACTCTAAAAGGACAATAGATAAACCAAATTAAATCCCAACCCCTTCTCTTTCGCAGGCACATTTTCCACCTTCTTTATATTTGCATGATTGTTTGTCGAACCTGCCCAACCTATCCATTGTTTCTTCTTAGTCTTGGCCGTCCTCTCGAAGGACATTTGTCTCCTTGTTCCCGAGACCTTGCACCCTTTCATGAAATCGACAAGAGCTAAGACGGAGCAAGATCTGGAAGAAGGGCAGTATTGACTAGCAACAGTAGTGCGGTTACTCGTATTTGCAAGAAATACACCTGCTTCAGAATCCGGGGAATATCTTAGCTGGAGCTGAGGGAAGATAAAAAATAACAGTGACTTGAAAACGATCTTCGTTTTGCCGGCCCTTGTGGCTGGGGAATGAAACACGGAGAAACCGGTGGGAACCTGGAACCGTGTGTGGGACAAGCTCCAAACGTACGATAACCCCCAACAGGTGGGAAAGAAAACCCAAGAACAAAACAACTTGAACACCTCAGAACTGAACAAATCCATTGATTTAGGATCAGCCCAGAATGCTTGAGGGGCAGATCCAATACACCCAGAGCCTAGGGAACAAGGCTCTCAGATCTTTTTAAGGTCGGACAGGCTCAAGTGCTTTCTGCTTCCCGAACTGAGTAGAGTAAGCAAAGGGTGTGGGGGTGGAGACCGAGCAATTGGGCGTTAAAACATAATGGGCCTGGTGGGGTTGATGGTTTGTGGTTGATGCAGAAGACCGATGCAAGCCACGATGGGCTTGAGAGACCATCACGAAGTCAGCAAGTGATATGGGCAAGATTGTCAATGAGCTATCCCACAAAATGTGGCAAAGAACATGTTTACAGCAATTAAAAATGCTGTTGAAAGAATGCACAGAGCAGCTGAAATTGAGAATAGTCAGCTGCTTAAAATTGCTGTGTCCAGTTATACAGTACACTTTTTGTGTGGTCCCAGCGCATGAGCAAACTGCAAAAACGGCCAGCACCCACAACATGCTTTAAAGAATGGGAAGTGTTTATTGAAACACAATACGTATCCCAAAACGATACCACGATATACCATAATATCATAGGATACCTTTCTTGAATTATAAACACTGTTTGGCATCATGTTGGTTATCATTTGCAGCCTTGCTCCCTTATCTAGAAGCTGGCGGGTGTTTGAAAGATAGCGAGCGATTTCAATATAGTTTTTTCAGCTTGTCCAAATTGTATATTTGGTTTGGCCGCATGTGTTTGCTCGCCTTTCTGCAAGCCTTGGCGCATCATGCAAACTTCAAAATTCCGATCAAAAATAAGGGATTTAGATCTCAAAACACAATCCAAAACAATACTAAACAATGGCTGCCTCCAGTTCCCAACTTACATGGTTATGACTTCCAAGTTTACAATGAGTTCGGTATTTTCTCCCACTCATCCTGTTTAAGCCTTGTGGGCCCCATTAGGTAGCAGGATTCCCACCATGCCGCTCTAAATGCAACGGGAGACCTTACATCCTCTCTCACCTTTGCTTTGCCCCGTGCAACCGCAGCAAAGCACTCATGAGACGGACCGGTTGTTTACTTTGCAAATACCCAGACACTCCATGTCCATGTATGCCATATATGCCTCCATTGGGGTGGTTTTGGGGGTCAATGTAGGCATATATGGCAGTCCCATGGAGTGTCTGGGATAGATGATATGATACATCCATTAAAACATCAGCAACGGATTGAACAAAAACGAGGCAAGATCCCAAAACGATGACTACCCGAAGATGTTCCATCCGGGACCCCTAGTTTTGCCCAAGTTGTTCTTCCAACAGAAAAGGTGGGCACCCCAAGCCTTGGGTGGGTGAATCCTTTGAAACTGGGAAGATTGCGTGTGTTTCATGTTTTTCCTGGTTGGAGCAGCCAATCCAAGCATCCACTGCCTCTCAGTCTGTTTTGCTCGCAGGTGGACGCCTACTTCAGCCGAACACAGGTGGTGCACACCCGCTATCGACCAATCATGGCGTAAGACGCCTCGCTCAGAGGCAAACGGATCGCAGATTTGTTGCAGAAAAAGGGCAGTCGACGACTGGACCATTTGATTTTTTGCAATCATTGTCATTCTAGGCTACTAGCTAGACCAAAAGCTTAAGCTGAAGTGAGACAGATCAAAATGAAAACCTTTCAAACAATGACGCGGTGTGCAGGATCAAGGATGCAGAGTTCCCGCTGGATTTAGGGTGCTGATTTAGGGGCAGCTTGCCACACTGGACCTTGAACACCAGAAGGACTACGTATATAGTAGCTTCTGCACGACATGCAACTGGTGTGGTGTACCGATGTTTGGTATAGCTTCCAAGTGATTTGACTCTTATTCAACACAAGGCAGATAAGAGGCACCTCAAGAGGCACGGTGCTTCACGCCGTGTTTGCCAATGCGGGCGTCACTAGCAAGTGGGACCTTAGTTGACCACTAGGATTCGAGTCGATCCACAGGATTCAAGGCCTACCATTGCTCTTTAAAAGGTTGAATCCCCAACAACCAATTGTCTTACAAAGGACATTTTAGACTACAACACCAGGCCAAACATGTTTTGTTGGACGTTGAATTGAAGGCGAATCGGTGATGACATCCTCTCACAAAGTCTGCAGATTCAGCATGAGTCACCCGCAGAGTTTGAACATGAGTGGTTGGTGGACTCCAACGGGTCACGTGAGTGTTACCAATGGGTCACGTGAGTCTTCTGACGATGTGAAATCATGGTACTTAAACCATGGCCCTGGAAATTTCTACTTACGACAGCAGAAATGGGCTGTTTAGTGGTTTGCGTTTCACTGAAGAATGTCAAGCCGATCTGTGATCTGATGTCATCTGTGAGGATGGGCAGCCCCTTGACCTACCAGACTTGTGAAGGGCAACTGTAAAAGCATTCCTTGTTTACTTGCCACATCTTTGGCTCAAGTATATAGATGTTTGATGTCTTTCAACTGGCATGTGAGTTGTCCATAGTTGTCCATAGTTGCTTTCGGGGCTCGCCTGCGTTTCAATGCACCCACTTGGGATCCTTGACCGGGGGAGCGCGCACTTCGGAATCAGCCGGAGTTTGGCACCTCCTCTGCCTATCTTTGAAGCATCTTTGAAGCTGCAGCTGCCCTCAGCCCGCAGTGCCAAAGATGGCCACGGCTCACAGCCGCGTTGTCAAGCCAGACCATCGGTGTGCCGCGGCCGCCCCGTTTTCACTCGGCGGCGCCACACCGCGTGGAGCCAGAATCGCAGCAACCTGCGAAGAAGACCGCCAGTTGGCGTTGGTGGAAGCCCAGAGGAGTGAAGCCTGGTGTCCACATACATCGCCCCTGGCAAGTTTGAGTCGTTTCAAGTGACTGGCTTTGCAGCACATTTGGTGGGTTGCAGAGCCAGGTTTTGCCGTCGTCAGTCAGTCAGTGGTGAAGGGTGATAGGTGTTGTCTAAAGAAAAAGATCTTCAGGCTATGACTCGATCTTGACAAGGCTCTTAAATGCATGTCTAGTGCTTTCATACACTCACCGCCCCAGGAAAACCAGCTCTCAAACTGCCACAGTATGGTCATCACCACGGGACCAAAGGGACTTTTCATGACGACGTTGAACAGTCGATCTCAGCCAATCCCCCGAAGTTGGCACTGAGCGGCTGTGTTCTTTTGGCCTCCTCATCTCTCCATCACCCGATAAGGGAAGATTCAGGATGATCAGGCCGAAGGACGTTGAACAAAACGGCCCCCCAGGGCTTCTGAGCTGGGTAGCTTGAGGGTGTTTTTGTGATGCTGGGGGTGGTGTGCCGAAGGAATGTTAGCCAGTTCGGAACGTTAGAGAGCGACGGGTACTTGGAAACCATGAAGAATCATCAGTGTCTTGACAGTTTTTGAAATCTGTAATAAGATGGTCGCACAGAAAACAACCCAAGAGCATACATACAGTTCATACGTTACAGGTTGTTCAGTACTCAGGAAGACGTGTATTTAGAGGTTGTTCAGAAGAAAAACAGTACTCTATACTAGAGCCTCATATACAGTACTACCGTACTACACCATCGAACTGAAGACGTGACCCGGGAGATCGATGATTCTCAGAGAGCTCAGGATTTGGGGTGAAGAGATGTCTCTCATTGATAAGCACCTGAGGCACCTTTAGATCCCCTTGGCATCACAAAGATTGTTCTCTGAAAAGGGACGTTTGTCGGGTTGGTCGACCAAAAGTGAGTTGACCAATCCGTTCAATAATCCATTCAATCCACTTGCACACACGTTTCAACTTTCAACGCGATCTCGAACATGCGGAGAGCCTGGGCAAAGGGGCAACCTCGCTCAGTTGAATGACCTCGTGGAACCAGTCGAAATCCGTTTCAAGTGAGGAGGATTGGCTGGTCCAGCACAGTCGATGCCTGAAGAAGGCATGTAGTAGGCGACTGTAATTAGGAGGATCTTCTCACAGAAAATTCCTGGCGAGATGTTGTACCGTGGTATTACCTGCATCAATGCACTGAGAAGCGGAACATCTGCTCTGCAAAGAACCTGCGAGCTATCAAGCCAGGGCCTCCTATGAGCAGCTCCAAGTCACTTCTTTTGGCAAAAAAAGATGGCACGTCGAAACGACGGAATCATGCGGGGCAGTGTAAGAAGATCAAGCAAAACCGTGGGACCATGGGTCGGACACAGTGGACCATTGGTCGACATGGGAGCACAATGAAGGACATCCGTGCGGATCTCCGGGAATTTGGGGAAGAAGGAAAGTATACACCCAAAGGCTCATTGGACCCTCATAGCCAGGGTTTTGACCCTCACAGCCAGGGTTTTGGACCTCAAACATGTAGCAGTTGGTTCGGGTCCAGGGTCGCCTCTGGGCAGTATACAAGTATATGATGTGCATGCGATGTGATGGGACGTGGACGGGCTTGAGATTCTTGCGCCATCTTGCACCAATTGTTTCGGTCCCATGAATGACACAAAGAATCACAAAGGTACCTAATTAGCGCTTCCTGTCGGGGTGCCCTGTCTGGAGACCTGTTTACGTAGTGTGGAGATGTCCTTTGGTGACCCCGAACGGAAGCAGCTGGTACAAAGGTTCCAATTTGATGTGACAGGGAATGGGAGTGATCATACATGGTCCATGCAGATCGGGTGATCAGTATGTTCTGTTCCTGGGCGAATCTCCTCAAATAGGGGAAGAATTTACTTGTTGTCCCGCTTCCTGAATTATAGACTTTTGATGAATCAACCACCAATCAACCACCCTCTTTTGTGTGTGTGTGTGTGTGGGGGGTAGATTAATCAAGAGTCTACTGTAAGTCATACATGCTTGGACCTGTTTGGCTGCGCCCCCACCGAAACCTCGGTCGTCTCTAAGAGTGTACGGTGCAGCCAGAGAGGCCCAGAGAGGGACGAGGAAGTCGGTGTCCACCCGCATAGCCAAGCAGCAAATGGGGTGTTTCACCCGTGGTGAAACCCGTTTAGCCTTCAGTTTGACCATGAAAAGAGGTGTTTTTGATCGGGTTCTGCGGGTTCTGTAGCTCTAAAATCCAGTAGAACATGTAAATGATGTTAGGTAAAGGCGGTCATTAAACAATATTACATAAAATCATGGACTTGGAAGGCCCTTTTCGGTATACCTCGTCCGGATCTGCCGAAACCGACGGTTTGAGGGGAGGCGGAGATGCGGGTTCCAACCCCCCCCACTCAGTTCAGCAACAGGTGGACAGTTCGGTTCAGCTGCTGATTGGACATGGCTCGGGAGTCAGTTGATAAGGGATCACCATCCTAGCCCGAGTCGCCCACGTATAGATGAAACATGGTTGAACATGTGGTCTTCTGCTTCTCAGTCGAATGTGTTCTGTCTCCGGACCGGTGGTTTTTTTCGGGATCGAACAATCTGCCGGAAGAGATTTGGAAGGCTTGGACTGCTGACGTTCCTGGGGACTTTTATGATAGCCCAGGTTGCGCTTTGCCTTTGGCCTAGTGAAATTCGTTTGGTTTTCAATGGTTCTCATTCTCTCAGCACGACCAGTAATTATATTTAAAGGACTTCAAGCGAACTGAGATGCAGTGAGAACACCTAATTCAGGTCTGAATGGGAACTTGTGCTGGGCGCCATCGTTGAACTGGCAACTCACCTCGCATCCCGATGCGTTGCATCCACCTCACTGACTGTCACTCTTCTTTCGTTTCTGGAATTCTAAGCCATCGGCCAGACAGAATCAGACAAGCCGGTCACGCTTCCGCCATGGGCAATGGAGACCTTTTTAGTAGAGTGGGGTTGTCTAGCCAGGTGACCCTTTAGAAACACCTGGAAGCTCTTGGCTTTGAGACAACATCTACATAAACCCCGCACCTGTCTGGTGCCCGCGAGGCCTCCGTTGCCTTTCATAATGATGTCCCGCAGAAGGCCCAGAAGACGTCGAGCTGCATCACTTTCAATCCATGGGTAGCTCGGAGGGCGCCTATGCGTCGTTTGAACAATTTTGGACACCTGAGAACGGCAGCTATTCCTGCCTTGTTGCATCACGCTGCGCTGAACAAGCCCCCAGTCAAGCCCCCTATATAAACCAAGAAGTACGGCTTGTTGTACGGCTCTTCTATTCTGTGAATATGAATTGGAGCGACGAACGATTTTCTGTCCCACCCAGCTAGATTGGTGGCCCCCAGCTAGATCGCTGTAGCAACACAGACAACATGGACCCTTGGGAATCGACCCACACAAGACCATTTTCCTCTACAACTATATAAGTGGTTTGGGGGCTTCATGTGGTCCGAATAGCAGGGGACTCTTAAGACTATATAACAATTCAATACTATATAATAAGTGAACAATTCAGATTTCCTTCAGCACCTGAAAGCAAATGCATGGGTGGAAGCTCTATGAAGCTCTTCCCAGTTGTCATACTCTAAGTGGCTGTGACATGTGCCATGCGGATTTTTTCAGATCAGCTTTTCGGAGGTGAAAGACCTAGATTTCGGCTCCGTGCAAGCCAAAATCTCAAGGTCAGGACCAACCAGTTACCACGGGGGCAGTACATCCAGCAGCACCGTGTCGGAACAGCTGCACCCGTTCTCCTCACGCCCGTGGCGTTAGAAGTGATCATCGCGCTGGCTGTGGCTTTGTGGGCAGTTTGAAGAGAGATAGCCTCCAATCTGTTACCACTGGTTGGTTGGTTGGTTGGTTGGTTGGTTGGTTGATTAATAGAGGGGCATTGCTGATGCCTGTGCAGGATGTGATGTTCTTTCAGTCCCCAACTTCTTTCAGTCCCCAACTTCCATCAGGATTGGCCGCCATGGAGAAATCCACTCAAGACGCAACTTGCGCTGACCCACAGATATGACAGCTGATTGCTCGTGGCGAACACCGCACCGGGAATGTGACATCGGTCGAAAAGGGGCGAGGACCTTCGGCGGCGTTCAGCTCGCGCCGTGACTCGCGGTGATGCGTGTGGGGGACTGCGTGGTGCGGACGAATGTGCGGACGTGGTGCCTCTCGCTGAACTGAGATTTATAAGAAGATCTTTTCAGGCCTCAGAGAGGTGAATTAAGGTACAAGATGAGGTACACATCGAACCAGGACAACACATCGAACCGTGTTAAGGTACATGAATTGATTCACTTGCAACAAGATGAGGTACACATCATTAAGAGATCATGAGACCATCCGAAAGAGAGACACATCGATGGGTCCAACCGTTACAACGGCCTCCATTCACGTGCAACTGCTGGTCAGCACGGATGCCCTGGTCAGCACGATGGATGGATGTGCCATCCAAGAACCACCGAGGTGGTATATCGTGGTAACACCGTCAGCAATCACTATGAATTACTATATGTTTGAACAAGGCCTGGAAGCTAACCATCATCATCATTGTTTTTGGTAAGAGGATAGACCCAACACATCCTGATCAAAGCTCCCCAGCGAAGCAGTTGGCCACCAGTGCTGAGGTTAAGACGTTGAAGAGTTGAGAAGACATTTTTTGAGGCGCGGGTCTCTTGAACCTCAAAATACCCATGAAAAAGTCTTGGCAGATTGTTTCATGAGGCAATCTTGCAAGAATTGGAATGTAACCCTAGACGTCCAAAGGCTCTTTTGGTTGCTTCGGGACTTCGGGAAGGTTCCTGAAACTCAGGTTCCACGAGGGAAAGACTCTTCTTATCTCTTCTTTGAATGTATGAACTCCCAGGGCAAACATTATGCATGACAATTCCAGTCATTTCCAGTCCTTCAATTTACAGTGGTTTTAGAGTAGATGGCACAAACCTCAAGATGTCCTTTAGATGGGGGTCCACATGAATCATATAAACCACCCATAGCGTCATCTGCCACACTCCCTGCCTCTGCGACCATCTCCCTGTCAGCCTCACCTACCTCCGTGGGTTCATACTCGATGTCCTCTACTGGCAGTGGCCTCCAAGGTTCCTCCACCCTGGACATGTGTCAACTGGGTCAAAACTGGTACCAGTGTGTGGAACTTTCGAAGACATCCAAATACATCACACCAAACGTCCAGGTCGGTGTGACACATGGCCGTGGGTCGTGGCAACTGGAGCCCGGAACTCACCGTGGTAGGGTGGACCATGCCAAGTAGTCTAATGGTTTTTCATGTGTGCTTAGTAAACAAACTTTATCGACAACAAGCAGATACTCTTCAGGTGATTGTCCGGTATCTCCAGGATTATATAACTATAGTTGCCCAGAAGCACACAATTTCTTGACTCGATTCGGTTTTTGGAGGACGCATACTGGATTGGGCCTTCCATGACAGTCAAACCTCAAAGCGTCAGATGACACACTCGCATGGATGGCGCCTCCCTTTCATCCGGAATGTGTCAGTCCCCAAAACAAGGCGAACGCCATGGTATTTTCCGAATTGCTGGACGACCTTTCTTATGAGGGAAATATGGTCGTCGGCCAAGAGATGCTTACAATATTGTGGGAGAACAAACAACTCGATTCCGACCTGAATAGCCATGCAGTGACGCTTCATTAGGTGCTGAATTCCCATCATGATCTCAGAAAAATTGCTACGTTCGCTCCCCGGTAGTTGGAGCACCGTTTGGGTTGGTGGTGGTGGGTGTTCTTGTATTTCCGTGGATGTGGTGGTGCAGTGTCCTTGTTTCCTGTCTTTTGTGACTACCATTCTCATCAATCAGGGGCCCCAGTATACCCCTCAAGAGGGATGGGCCCCAGAGAAGGGCAGCGCACGAGTCCGTGGTCAACCAGAAACCGGGTTGATGACCCACAACCCCTGGCCCCCTGAGACAGAAGACGCGCTCCACCCAACAAAAGGTGCCAAGAGAGGTTGAACAGCCCTTTTTAGCCCATCCTATATGTACCACTACAGGGTCCTATATGGTCTCTGAACCTCTCTTGATGTCAAAAGGGATGTCGTGCGCGGGCACGGATTTCGGTGTTCGCCGACCGACATCCCTTCGTCGACATACTCCTCGTTCGAGCAGGTGAAATAGAGTGGAGCCGAGAAGGGCCGACACGAAGCTGCGACACAGAGGGCATCGTGCTCGAAAGAAAGCATCACAGTCGGTGACGCGTGATCTGGGTGAAAAGTGTGAAAAGTGTGGGGTGAATTCCGTCTGACCCAGATGGACTTGCCAAGTCCAAGAGCGGGAAAAGGTGATGAACAAGTGCTGAGTCCGGGCAAAACGGAAAGGACGGAGGTCTGCTTTGGCAGGTCCGGACCGAGTCCGGATGTCGGTGCCCGTGCACGGTGCACCCGGTCTTTGAGAGTTTGTAAACTGGGTATGACTAGGAGATCTGGGGCTGCAAAAGCCTTGTATAGCATGTTTCAAAGCTTGGAAACACAAGCCCATTCCAACATTGGTGATGTCACATTGGTATACTACCCAAACCTCGACCCATGCAGATTCTGAAGCAACTCAGCAGACAGGCTGCACGCTCCGACGCATCCGCTTGTTTCGGCTCCGTCCTAGACCTCGGTCGACGCCTCTGGTCACCGCCCATCCCCTCGGCGGCGCCGAAGCGTTCCGCCGCCAGCCGCAGCCGATGAGACCGGCGATCCTACGTCCGGATGCCCAGGACCCCACCACGGCAGGTGGGGGACGGAGGCCCAACGGATTCCCTTCAGCGAGCGTCTGAGACCTGACGGTCGCCGAGCTTGCGAGTCATGGCCTCCGACAGACGCCTCCAAAAGCCCTTTTCGTAGCTTTTCCTGTGGCGCGTTGGTGATTTGGAGGAGATGTGTGTGGTGCCAGAATGGAGAGTTTTGAGAAATGAGAGTCCAACTCTCCAATGAGGCAAAAGGATGTTTGCAAGGGGCAAAAGGATCTCTACCTAGCGCTTCCTGTCTGGGTGTCCTGTAGGGTTGTCCAGCCAGATCACCCCGAACGGAAGCAGCTGGTACTTGTAGAGGATTTTGTGAGGATGGAATTCTCAGACACTCCATGGGACTGCCATAGGACTGCTTACATTGACCCCTTCCCAACCACCCCAACTGTATGTAAATATGGCCGTCCCATTAGTCGTGTTTGGGTTTTACACCTTTTGTATCCTTTTGTTGGGTGGAAAGGAGCGCATTCTCTCGTGGGCCAAGGCATCCGGGTGTTTGGGTATTGATCTTATAACACTCTCCATCTTCGTGTCGGACCCACACAGAAATGGGCTCTTTCAGAGGTCCACACGGTCGGGTTGACCGTCCGTCCTGAGTCCTTCCTGGTCGGACTGAGGATGTATGAACTGCTGAGTCCTTTCGAAAACTCCGGTGAGTTCAACCAAACCTAGACACGACCCATGAGACTGGCAATCAGTTGGGGTGGTTGGGAAGGGTCAATGTAGTAGGTAAACATTCCATACATGGAGTGTCTCGGACACGCAAGCTCGTCGTTGACGCCAAGAACCACCCTCCCACGCAGCTCGTCCTGAGCTGGCAAACCAGTCGTGACAGTGGCACTATAGCCGTGACGGTGTTTGTTCCGAGTTCTGAGCTACGGGTCGGATCGTCGAAGGGGCTCTTCAGCTGGAAAGACCCCGAGGCGATCGGTTGCAAATGAGGGAGCAAATTCATCATGACCCTGAAAAAAATCTACAACAGACTACAAGACATATGTGAGCTTCCATTTTAGCTGACAAGAATCAGCCAACAGCCTGACAATAAGACTTTGAGCACACTGACTTGGGGACCACAGTGAAGAGACAGATGGGTCCCACACTATTCCCAGCCAGAATTCTCCATGGTAGGTCTTTCTTCACCTTGAAAATTCCAACAGAGGTTGAAAGACCTTATAGGACCCTACTGGGGGACCCATAGGGTAGCCTATAGGGTTCTTCAACCTTTGTTGAAAACCCCCTGGTGCGTGGGACACTTCCTTCCAGGTGCTCCTCTTCTTTGCAGTGCGACTTGGCACGAGAAGTTCTCTCATCGCTCTACTGACTCCATGCGGAACGTCCGGACGGACTCCTCGGTCGTTCGAGAAATTCTGGGAGAGGATTCTAGAGTCTGACTGGCGAGGTCTTTCAACTGACAGGACTCACAGGTGTCACAGGGAACGAACGGATGGTACCATCCCGGAAGCAGTCGCAGCTGGTCAACTGAAAGGATGAGGGAGAATTACTGGGGTCAATGTATGTCAATGTACTGGTTTGGCGATATCGGTCTGGCGGGGTGATCTTTACTATATATCTTATAACTGAATGTGATGTGTACTCTTTTCTGGAGGCGGCGAACTGGCTGGGTGAATCCCGGGTCCAAGCCCTGCAGTTTCGGGCTTGAAACGAGTCGCAGGAATCGGTTTATCCTGCCTGTTCGTTCGGATCTGCTGTCGGTTTACGGCACCAATCCCCCCATGCTTCGCTCCCCTGGGGGACGAGAAGAAAGTAGCCACGTCGGACGCTGAACCGACCCGCTGGCGAGTAGCTTCAGCTGGCGCCATGCAGCTCCGGGCGCCATGCGATGTTCAGGTGGATCTTTTCTATGGGTCCCTATGAGTGGATCTCCCCCAGAAGTGGGGAAGGGTGGCCATTACGAGTCGTTCCCTTCCTTTTTTCCCATCTCTTGTCCCGGTTCCTGAAGCAACTGTCTGAGTGCCAGACACTCCATGTCTGTCATAGGCTGCCAATCAGTTGACCCCTCAAAGGCACCACCCCTGGCCAGATCAGTGGAGTGCCGGCTCCCGAACGTTTGGCATTGGATCATGGGCGATTGATTCGAATCGGGGCTTCGTCGTGGTGCGACAAGCTTGAGTCATGGCTTAAGATCCGTACGTTCGTCACCGCATGGCGACAGATTGTACCAGCAGTTCCATGGAGGCCCGGCTGCACCTTCCTTTGGAGGGGTGCGGGGTGTAGGAACGCTCCGAAGGTCACATCCACTTATGGGTATCTTAGAACCAGGCTCCTGGCCCCCCGAACCTGAGAAGGAGGTGGGCCAGGGGCGGGTGCCGGGTCGAAGACCACTGGTCACCGGGTCGGAGATGGGGCGATCGGTGGTCTAGGGGAATGCAATCGTTGCCGGCCCATGACCAGGTCTTCCTGGAGATAGCTGCTGCCTTTGATCTCCTGTCGTCGATAGGCGAGGCCGAAGTGTGTGGGCACGAACGAAGCGGGGTGTGGGGTCAAAACTAGAACCCCGCAGTTTGTTCCAGTGGTGGAAGTTCCGTAGCGTGTTAGGCTTCGCAGAGACTGGTTGGATGATCGACTTTGGCTGCGCTGGTTTGAACTTCACAGACTTGGGGCAGATTTCCACAGTCTTGTGCAAACTCTGCCCAAGACACTCAAGTCGGACCTAGATTGGGGCTCGCTAGCTTCTGTCATTGGGGTTTTGCATGGTTTTACCGCGTGATGCTGATGTTTGAAGTGTCCTTGTAGAGGTCTTCAAACAAATAGAGTCACTGAGTCACTGAGGCTTTGTTTGCATGTTCTTAGACTTCGGTGTGAGCCACGGTGCTCAAGGACTTGTTGTTTGTAACTAAGAAGGGTGTGTATATTTCCCCGACACTCCATGGGACTGCCATATATGCCTACGTACATTGACCCCCCTGGCACCACCCCAAGTGATCGGCATCTATGGCAGTCCCATGGGTCATGTCTGGGTGTTCATGGGGGGGACCTCTCTGGCCCAAGGGGCGTTGGTCTGTTATCCGAACCTTCCAGGAGGGTCGGAACGCCGGCGGTTCGGTCTCCCTGTCGTAGCTGCGGCTACACCCATATCTCGTGCCCCTAGAAATGGAACGAGACTTGCCTTGGCGCGGGCCGCCCACTTAAGTATGCAAATATGATTAAAACACATCACGAAAGCTAGCCTCAGCTAGCTGGAGTCGCTCTTGCTTTAGGAAGGAAATGACAGGGTCGACGGCAGCCTGAAAGACTTCAAATCATTGATTAAATCAATTTTAAGACCCCCTCCCCGCAGGTTCAACTCCCCCCTCTGGCTGAGGTTGACAGGGTCTGATGCTCTCTTGGAGATTCTTGGAGATGGCCATGAGCTTCTCGTCTCATCCAGCTGCCTCATGAACGCTTTACCATAGCATGCCATCACCATGCCCATGCCTCTAATGCCACTCATCATCAGCAATGCCAACATTGCAATCTGAGCTAGTGATTCTGCTTCTGATTTGCTTATGCTCGATGCGTGCACAAGTCCTTGCTGGAGATAGTGCACTATTTGCTCGCCTTCCCTGAGGCACTGCGGTCATACTTTTCGTGCCTTTGCTGCCGCTGAAGTGTGTTGCCTTGAGGCTTCCTGCTCTGTAGAATGTGTGACAATGCTTGTAATGGCACGTGTAGGGGTGCTACGTCTCATTGCATCTGTATCCTACTCTTCTTTCTTAAGCGACTACATTCGCGGCTAGCTCATTCCACGACTCCCCACAGACGAAAGCTCCACACATAGATACCAATGCGGACATACGGCATGCATCACACGCCTCATCATCCTCCGTGCGCTTGCAACCACTGCATCGGGGCACGGTCAAACAAGTTCTTCGTTAAACGTTTCCAAAGAGGCCTGGCCATACCATTAGGCCACATTGCATGGCAGCATCGATGTTGGTCTTGATCTCACTCATCACTTTAAATTGGTTCTCTCCTCATCATTCCTGGCAAAGAGTTCATGCCTCTCAACCTCACTGTCCACAACCATCCCAAATACACTGGTGTATGCAATTTGCAAGTGCGAACCCACATGATCTACATGTTGATGGCGCCCAGCCCCTGTGGCGTCATATTCCATGAGTAGCAGATCCCTCATGGCCTTCCTTATGTGCATGGGACAAGGCATGACAAGGCTCATCGCCCCACCTCATCAAAACCGAGCCCCCCAAATCAACCAGCCTCTAAACCAAATGCCTCAACCCATCTTGCCTGGCCATCCTCATCCATCCTCCTCTCAATGTTACTGGCTAAGTGTGACAAGTCTGGTCCTCCCTTGGAGATGGCCATGAACTTCCCATCCAGGTGAACCTTCTCATCAAGCTGAGCTAATGATCCTACTTCTGATTTGCTTACGCTCGAGCCTGATGTATTGCAACCCAGTGTTGTTGGACCATGGTGTTGGACCATGGCTCCATTAAGCACCTGATGGTGAAATCATATGAACCCATCCTAAATCTCATGGTTTTCAATCTTCGTGCGCATCCACATCCATCCACCCAAGCCTCCACCAGGCCCGTGGGCCTGTGACCTGGATTGGACCCTTCTCCATGGACCCCACTTCCCCTCACAACCAGAAGCTCCCTCATCTTCCAATGGAGCATACCTCACTGGATACCCCGAGCTCCTTGTTTGGAGGCCGCCACCCTGCTCAGTATCGCACTGCTCTTGCGTCAGAGCCACAAACCGCGCCCAGCAGTGGCTAGCTTTCAATCATCCCTGGCCTCAAGGAACAACATATTTAATATACTGTAATATATATGCATATATATTAACATATGAATCTGGCGCACACAGCCCAAGTGCACTTAAAGGGATGTTCAGCATGTCAACTGTGTGTGCGCCTGGTTGTGCTGTGGGTGACTCAAGTTGCCCACAACATTGAGAAATGCATGTTGGCAACGGCTCATAGATTGGCCGCTATGTTTAACTACTACCCACTCGCAAGTTTAGGAAAATGACAATTATAAAATATGTTTTCCTTCTGTGACCTATGAATGGATCTCTCTCTATATATATATATATGTTTGAGCTCACTGGCAAGTTCCTACTCACGGTCGCGTTGGTCAAGGAAGATTCTTCAATGTGGCATCAGATGAGGCACCGGGGCGGAGGGTGGAACTTAGACGTTGGGCCTATAGGGGCCTTTAGTATCCTTTGGTGTTGGTGAGACGGTTGATTGAAGGGATGTCCGAGGTAAGATGCTCTTTGGAGAATTGGCATACAGTATGTTGGCATGTTGCGTCTGTGTCGGTGCTGTTGAGTCCTGCCGCTCCACACAATCTCCTTTGTCCAATGTTTGTACAGTTGACCAACATGTTCCTGCACAGGAGATGACGTGCGGCGTGCAACGAATTCAACGAATGTGCATAGTTTCTTGTTTTGCGACTGCGGTGATTTCCAAAAAGGCTGATGGTCCAACAAGGACCGACCATGCCTGTTCTAGGCGGTTCCGAGCAGCGAGAGCAGCCCCGCACCCTACGCACTCTTCACGCATGCCAGAGCCCCAGCGCCCTATCGATGGCCGTTTGGAAGTAGAAATACCTCCGATTTTGTGCCGTTTTCAGATGCTGTTGATTCTCCCGAACGGGGTGAATCCCCTGAAGCTGGGAAAGGTGCTCTCTTTTCCACAGGAAATTTTGTAGTTCTAAGTGCTATGACACGTCAGGAAAACAAAGCATTCCAACGCACACATCGGTGGTGCACGGGATGAACTCCAGGCGTTTCACTCCCCACGCCTTAGTGCGTTGGTCCGACCGCACCGAGGAAGCGGGGCAACTCCACTGCGACGACCGCACCTTGAGGCTTTCGGTTCCGGTCCGGGTTGAACCGTGGGTCCGGTGCCCGGACGATTCGGCCCGTTTTGTCCAAGAGAGGTAGTTAAGTGACCATAAATAGGACCCGGAAAACCAGGGGTACCCTGGCCTGGGATAGTCTAGTTCGGGTCCTTCAACCTTTGTTGGGTGTTGTAGACCTGGACCTTCTTAAGGGGTGTCCTGGCTGGAGGTCTAGTGGTGTAGGGCTTCCAGCCAGGTGACCCCGGAATGAAGGTGCTGGGAGATGATGTATCGAAGGATTTGGGGACATCCGCAGTGTCTGGTCTGTAAGTTAAAGGGTGATTTGGAAGAGTACTTCTGCGGAAGATGTGTCTTTGCTTCGCTTCTTCCCTCCGAAAGCAGCTCTTCCATTGACCTCCAGTGAGTGCCAGGGGTGTGCCTTATTCTGAAGTGCCAGATTCACCAGATACCCTGTTTACTTTTGGGTGGCTGAGGTTTGCTTCAGAGATTGGACCCACGGAAAGCTGCGCGCGGCTACGTCGGATTCGCTCGACCCCACGGCGTTTCGGGAGCGTCTCTCGGGGTGTTCGGTGGAGCAGGCACCCATGTGTGGCAGAGCTCAAAGCCTTCCTCGAGGAGCCGAAGAAATGGAAAAGCGCGAGTGACTCTGTCTCTCTCTCTCTCTCCTCTCTCTCTCTCTCTCTTCCTCTCCGAGTGACTTTTGGGATCCATTCAGGGATTCAGGGGGCTCGATGTTTGCAGGAAAATCCAGGCAGTTCCCACGAAAAAAGGCTGGTTTCGTCCGAGTGCGAAACCAGTTCGACCAAACCAGTTCGACCGAACAGCTCCTTCTTCGGCCGCCTGGGCTCCTTCTTCGGCCGGCTGGGATCCTCTGGGATTGGTCAGACGGGTCCTACGATCTCCGAACGACGCTCCATGCACTCCATGAGCAGGCTGAGCAGGCATCAAAGCACGGTGTGGCGGTGTGAGCAGATGCTTTTGCCGCCTGAAAAGACACGTCCTTATATAGACTTGGTTGCCAACCAAAAACAGGGAAGCGAAGAGCGCCCCCTCGGGAGAAGCGATGCCCAAAAAGCGTTGCCCTACTGCCCTACAATCCAAAACATGAAGGATGCACATATGTCATTTGTTTGACTGTTTGACATGTGTTTTTCTTTCAAGAGCTTCTTGATCATGAGAGGCAAGACTCAGCTCCTGTGGGGCGCCACCCTTAGCGATGCCCAAGCGATGCCCTCGATCATGCCAGTCCAATGCTTGCCCACTTAAACAATCCATAAGCTTAAACATCATTAGGCGGGTTTGCAACCAACAACGATGTTGCGGTAACAGCTTGGTGAATGCTCTTAGCTGCTTGGAAAGCTCAGAACTGGTGTCAGCTGAGCTTTGTGCTGTTACCTTCTACTTGAGTGAAGTTGTTTTTGTTTTTTGTATCCTTTGAGTGCTCGTGCTCAGTCTTATGCTCATACATACACTTGTTTGGGTGAAGTCTGCCTTTACTAACTACAGGAAAGCGATGCCTCCCTTCAAAGTTGAAGTCCAAGGTTGTCCAAAACTGAGAGAAGCGATGCGCCCCACCCAATCTAATTATGTGGCATAAGATATTGAACAAGGAGTTTGGACCGCCACACCTTTGCGACGATCCGAATCGACGTGTGGTGCACCCGGATCGACTCGCCGAGAATCGACCAAATCGACTCGTCGCGGTCTTCTCCCTGTCGCTTCAGGACAAGAACCACACACAGAAGCGACAGTGCTCTCCTCAGAGCCCGCGACAGTGCGGCCTTCATGGAGCCGGAGTGGGCGCTTCAGTTCAGTTCGACGGTGTTTCACTTGCCCCTGAAGCTTCAGGAACTCCCTGGACTCGGGTCACCAGTTGACATCTCAACTGGGACTTCCAGGTTCACGTGGAAGCTCTGAACGGAAGGGACGATGAAAGGGACGGACCTCGATGGACTTCGCTCCCCACAGCGGAGGGCCCGGACGAAGTCCGGTCCGCGCGCGACGAAGGAACAGACGGACGGACCCAGGGACCCAGCGCTGGCCGGTTCCCGGATGCGGAGAACGGCAAGGCAAAGATCTGGTCGAGTTGTGGTAGTTGAACGATGTTGAACGCAACAACTGAATTCTTGCCCTACTTCGACAAAGCAGCTAATGACACAGGACGTCAGTCCTGAGTCGGGCTCCTTTGGGCGAAGTTCCCAAACACTCACGCTGAAGACGGGAGCATAGTGACCGGAACCGGAAAGAGATGGAAAGAGGGTCAATGTAGCCAGCACCTCCAACAGCTCGCTGAAATGGCTGAAATGGAGATCTTCCAAGTGGGTCCCCATGGTGATCCTCTTCGAAACCGGTGCTGCTATATACATCATCGCGCCACTCCGTCCTCGCGCCAGTCCGTCCTCGCGCCAGTCCCACACGCGCCAGTCCTCGGCGCCCTGAGGAACGCCTTAAGCTGTGTGCACGAGGTCATGGAGACCTCCCAGGAGCCGAACGACCGAGTTCCGCGCGGCACGGCGCGGTGGCGCGGTCGGCGCGGTCGGCGCGGCACGGAACTGGCGCGACGGGTGCGGAGGAACGGCAGGTTTTCAGGAGGGAAGCCCTCGAGGAGGTGCGAAGACCTGGTATTTCCCTTGGAAAGAAAAAACAATAAACAGTAATAAACAACATGGAGTAAAAGGATGTAGAAAGGAGTGGTTTAAGGGAAACATCTACCAGAAACTAATTCTTTTCACACCCAAATTCCCATGATGGCTGTCCTGCAGATTTGGAAACCTTCTTGATTTGTTCATTTCATGGAGGGTTTGAGCTGTGAGGAGATGTTTGGTACGTTGGGGGACTACTTTCGTTGCCAGGGGGACCACTTTGAGCAATGGTTCGCGAAAAAAGTGGCTGCGATGTTCGCTGTGTGGACCACTTGTTAGTCAATCTAGCAGCTCCAGTCGGACAAAGTAAAACCTGGTCTGACCAACCTCATGGAGTAGATTTTTTACATGACCAACTCCAGTATAAAATTAGGATGAGGTCCGCCAAGTTTTTTGCAGGTGTCCTGCAGGTGCACCATTTTCCAGCACATCCCAGCCCACGCCTTTTTCCTAAACTTCGTCAACCCCGAAGCCGTTGCCACGACCACATCGACCCCAATAGACCTTACCCAGTCGTCTCCGCATTCTCTCCTCACGAGGACTACTGGGAGCTCAAGAATATGACCCACCTTCTCTTGGACTTGGACACCAAAGATCACGTCTTTGACAAGGACCGGACTCGGTGACTCCTAGGAACGGACGGTTCGCGAGAGACGTGGGAAGGGGACAGGGGGGCGGGCGGTGACTGGGTGACGTGGATGGTTTTAGGGTGCTCCCACCACGGCGGAGGAGGAGAGATGCCAGCAGCGAGTCGTTGGGGAGGAGAGATTCCAACCGCCGGAATCCGCTCTGATCCTGCATGTTTCATCTTTGTTTGATCCTTCTTGCAGTCCAATAGGAAGCAACCAGTCGAAGGATTTCCGACCAGAGTTTCGACTGACGTTTTTGGATGAAGCAACTGCAAGATGTCAATGGCCTTGCTGGGATCTCTTCTCTTTCATTCTCTTTCCATCTCTTTCCACTCGCCAGTCGAAGTCTCAAGCCTCTGAAAATCGGGATCGAATCCTTATAGTGATGGCTCGTTTCTGGGTGATCTCGATCTCCTTGGACCGACACCTCCAGGGGAAGCGAGATCCAAAGACCTTCCAAGAATCCACCTGGAAACCACCTGGTGGTCCTTGGCAAACAAACACACCATGGGTTTTTTGGTAGGTCAATCACCTCGGCTGCAGTGGGGACTGCACCTACTGGTCGGGGACCGGACCGTCTATCCGCGGACCGTTTATGCCGCCGAAGACCGGTCGAAACACCTTGGCTTTTCATGGGTTGCTCGGGCCACTGGCTTGCTCGGATCGCTCGCCCGAGCGAACCAAGCGATCCGAGCGAAATCGCAGGTCATGTGTTTCGTCGCCCAGGTCGCTTCGAAGGTGAACGCATGGGGAGGAATGGCTTCCTCACCGAGTGAAGTGGTCTGAAACTGGGGAAGACATTTTTGGGGGACAGCCGATCCAGGAACCCCACCGATGTGCACGCGATCCACAAACACAGGAGTCTCGCGACAACGACTTCATCTCTGCGGGCATCGGCTTCGCCAAGAAGCTGTGGCCACCTGAGAGCGAGCAGAATCGTCCAATCGACAGATTCGGTGGTTCCCGGGCAGCCACGAGTAGTATGGAACCGTTTGGGCCCTCGCTTCCGTTGGGTATATGGTTTGAGTCGAACTGGAAAAAACTGTTATAGGTTACTCCATAATGTTACTTCCAACTTCTTTGTGGTTTGCCTGCATCCCCTGGGTGTAACAAGATCTCAGGAAGTCCCCTTTTCTTTCAAGTCTTTGTAGGAACCTGATGTGTCCAAGGAGGTCACCATGGGTTCATTCTCACCTCTGAAGTCCGCACCAGCCTAGGATGGCGCATCCCGAGTGCCTCAACGATTTTGACACCAAGGGAGAGCTCGAGTGCCGCTGCGTACGGAGCCTCAGGGGTCGGAAGCACCCGCTTCCGCGGCTGAAGTAGAGGTGCTTCGGACCAGACCTGGACTGGTTCTGACTCCGAACTCATCATGTTGTAACATGATGCATGCAAAATGGGTGTATATACCAGGGCCCCCGGGCCAGGGGTGTCCAAATATAGCTCCGAACAGAGGTTAAGGGGTATCCATTAACCACCCCTTAGGGGGTCCTGGTATATATATATATATATTATAGACTATAATATTGTAGGTCAGTGAGCCTAGGGGATCCTGAGGGTGTGTACATATTATATATTGTACACACCCTCAGGATCCCTTTTTTTGATGATTACTCTCCTGGCCTTGAAATTTGCCAAAGGGGGTCTTAAAGAAGATTCAGCTTCACGGTCAACTTGTGAGGACTCCTTGGAAGCTGGGGACGTCTATTTCGGTCGAGCTTCAGGTCGAAGGCCCTCGAATTCATGGCCTGATTTGAATCTGCACCATTGTCAACAAAGAGCCTGCAAGATGTCGTTTTCCAGGCGCTGCAGAAAAGATGGAGACACTTCCTTTCCAGCCACAGTGGCCAACAACAGATTGCCAGGCATGACGTTTGACAAATTGGATATCTCGACCATGATAAACTGATGCTTCGCAGCCAACAAGAGACCAGAGAACCTGTCAAAGCGGGGACTTGTGGTAAGAGCCTCACCATGGCCGTCAGCCATCCTCCAGAACTGGCAAAGGTGGGACCATGCCCACCTACTGACCCGTCAGACTCGCGCTCTTGGTTGTAAATGAGTCGTAAAAGATTCTTTGGGGGTAAGGCGATTCGCAGAGACAAAACCCGCAGAAACCCGGCTCAAGAGCGGATCTCACCCGATGCCGGACTAGTGGTCTACATCAGTCTCCATTGGTCTCCATCTTTGGAAGCCTCTGCACGGTGCCAGATGGAACTCTGTCAAATGAAGGACATGCGCCTAACATAGCCAAACATGAGGCTTCTTCTTCAAACCGTTAAACCGAAGTGTGTGCCTGGAATATGAATCTCCATTGGACACTCCTTGGATGATCCGTGTGAGTGTGTGTGTTCCCGTTAGCTCCTTCCGTTCGACCATTCAAAGAGCTTGGTTGACCTGGTGACCTGGTGACGTGTCAAACCCTTCGCTACAGCACAAGCGGCCTCGCCTGTGGTCGGCCGGTGGGCAGAGAATCCGGCCAGCCTAACCCATGATGGTTGATGTGGCATATATGCCTACCAGCTGCTTCCAAGGGGTTACCAATGAACAACCCTACACTGCTGATAGGTCACCATTGGACATCCCTTGGAAGGTCCTAGTACATTTACCCCATTGATGATCCCAATGTAGTGTAAATATGCCAGTCCCATGGATCGTTTGGGTGTTGATGTCTCCGTTTGCCAAAGCCGTTTGTGTGGATGCCCAAGAGTACTAAGAGTACTTCTCCAGCCGCATGCCTCATCGTTCTTCCTTCGTCCACGTATGGACGCATTAAATCCGATGATGTCCAACGTATTGGATTATATATAGCCCCCCAAATAGATAAGCGAGATAAGAAAAGTAGATCCCCACTAAGAATGTATTGGAAACCGTTTGTATCTATTTGGGGGCAGCATTGTAAGTTTCAGGGACCTTTGTTGATGGTTAAGGTTTCTTGTGTTATGCCTCAAAGCATTTGCTGAGTTCCCATTCCCTCCACATCAGTGGAATACATTCCGTCACAAATTAAGCATTGTGTGGCAGATAAAAGGCTCCAGTTTGTAGAGCAACACGGTCTTCCCTTGAGCTCGTTGTAACCATCATAAACCGATGGTTTCACTGAGGTGCCTTTGTATGGCAAAGTGAGCACGCTGAAGCTCAAGAATGCTGGGAAGTTGGAGGAGGACCCTGTCTCGGCTCCAACGCCCACGGTGCCGACGGGACGCTGATGGCCCACGCCACCCCAAAACGGTGGCGGGTCGTTGAGACGGGAGTGGGAGGGTGGCAACCAAAGACCTGGCCAAGGGGAGAATGGATGCTTCACCCCAATATGTACAGGGACCTTCCAAGAGGTGTCCAATGGAGATCCATAAGTAGCGCAAGGCCGTCCATGAGTGACTCCTTGCATGGCGCTGGTATATCCTTATGGAAGTGGAGGAATTCTATCTATTTGTAGAGGAAAATGGTGATCCGAACCTTGGGTTCCACTTCGATGATGATTGCAGAGAGTGTTCTTCCTATCAGCTAGTCCTTCAGGTAGTCCTTCGGGTCCTCCAGCTGTTCCACTTCCACTTCCAGCTAGTCCTTCAGGTAGTCCTGACAGATCCGAGTAGAGGAATGGTGAGAATCTGCTGAGACACTGCAGTTAGTCTCACCCAGATGAAGTGTGGTCCACTCCTGCAGCTTCAACACCCAAAAGATCCTGGGAGTCAGGTGGACTCGTGATCAAGAGATCTATGTAGATGATTATCAATGAATTGGGTGGTTTGAATTGGGTGGTTTGGACTCTACCCCATATATGAAGTTTTACCATTCAATTTTGTGCTTGTATTCATCAAGAGATCTACATGATTCTGGGAAGATGATCCGTTTGTTCAGACCACAAGACTTGGTATTCTCTCCCCTCCCCACATCCCACCACCCCAATGGTGGGAAAACATGGAAAAAAAAAACCACGTCGCGGGACGTCAATGGCGTGAGGCACAGGAACTGTTTCAGCAAGTGAGAGACATGGCATGGCAAGGCGCCGAAAAGACGCGACGCCCGGACCTCGCGAGGGTTGCCGGATGCGCGACCAGTCAGGTGAGGTTCCCGGATTGGGCAGGAGTGAATCTCCTGAAACTGGGGAAGATCCACCCAAGGTTGATTGAGGAAATCCAATGCACAAGATAAAAGAACTATTTAAATGTTTAAGCCTGGTGAAATCAACTCGTGTTGGATGGTTTATTTTCCGGTTGCGCAGCAGATACAAGTCATTCAGGTCTCACATTTGGGAGCACCTAGCTTGGAGAGATTGCCGAAGGTTTCATGATGCCTGTTCATCCTCCTCTCTCTAAATGGTCTCAAAGTCATAAAGACCCCACCTCATAAACCAAAGAATAGCAAAATATGTAAGGTTTCCTGGCCAAGTCACCTGATGTGTTTCCAAGTCCTGTCACGCAAAAAATACACAGGTTCTCTTTCAGCACTCTCACTGCCAGGTCTTGGAGGGTTGGAGAGGTCAAACCGTGACCAACTTGAGAGATTGTTGGACCAACTTGAGGGACTGCTGGAGTGGTACATCTGGTAGTGCATCTACGAGAATTCGGGCTGTGAAAAACCTCTGAGTCTACCAGACTCTCCCTGAGCAGATTCGGGCCCTGACCGGGGTGTCCTGCTGGAGGTAGTCCAGCCCACTTTTATTAGGAATCATTGGACACCCAAACAGCATGAAAGGGGAGGGTGCTGGTACCCGGTCTCCCGGTCTCACTGCGAGGTCCCGCGGCGCGTCTCCGCGTCTCCGTTCGCAGGTCGCGAGCGCCAGTACGCGCCTGGGGAGGCCGTGCCCTGGGATGTCCGAGAGCTCGGCGCAGTGCGGGTGAGTTTCCCCGGTGAATCCCCCTGAAACTGGGGAAGATTAGTTTTTGGTATTTTGCCGGGGCAGAACGATCCATGTCCGAAGGCATCGGAGATGCGCCACGCCTAATTTGTAGGAGTGTCCAGAGTCCATGGTCCTCCATGCATGGAGGTCAAGAAGGGATATAGGGTCAAAACCTGGAGCCGGCACGGTCATATATGCCTCATTGACCCCTGAAACAACCACCCGTTTGCGGCCTCATATATGCGTGCGTATGCGTGCGTACGTTTCAGGGATGAAACAGATCGGTCACGAGTCGACGGAGTCCACCTGGGAAGTTGTGGGCGGAGATTGGACACCCCTTGGACACGTCCAGGGAAATTGCAAAGGGTCCTGTGTTTTTCTTTGAAACATCGGGTGCCACAAAACAGGTCAGTAATGTGTTCCTGCTTCACTGCTCACATGAGCCACGGGAAAACCACCTGTGGCCAACTTGGGGCGAGCATGGTGTTCCAAACTTTTTTGCAAGTTTATCAGCCGCAAAGTAGCGAAAGAAGGGTGGGTGTTTTAACACTATGTGTTTTCATGCCCTGAGCCACTCAGTTTGGGGTCTGAACTTCAGGCGCCAGGAAATATGCTCAGAGGTTGGTTGTTCTCAGAAGTCCAAAGACTATACTTTTCCTTAGTGAAGTAAAGGAATTTGCCTTTCTGGTCCCCCTAAAGACAATTCCTTTTGTTGTCTTTAAATTATCGTGTTCTTCTTTAAGACCGAAGGGAGCAAAGGTATGCACAACCATTTGGAGATACTCGGAGGCAGATCCTCCCACAAGCCCTGCAACAGTGCCACCCCTGCAAATGCGCACACAGATACGCCTCACTGCTGAGGATTTCCACCATACGCCTCAGATCTGGGTCCGCCGGCTGGAGAGGGGACGGTTGCAGACAGATAGGGCACTGTGCAACAAAGCTGAGGTCACGGATACTCAAAGACTCAAGGATAACTTCTTTGCTGTATGTACAGGGGATCAGGGTGTTTGGTGTAGCCACAAGAGATCAAGAGGGAGTCCAGTTGCCGGGCCGCCTTTAGTCTTCTCGATCTGCTTCACTCGCATCGGGAGACCTGGAAGGCGGATGACTCCCACCAATTGCCCCCCATGCATGTCGCCCTCTACACGCTGCCCTATCCCAAGAAGCACCCGTGTCTTTGGTGGCCTTTGATGTTTGGATAGAGAGCCAGCACTGGGTTAGCATCACCAGTACGCACCGCCCACATGTGTTGGTGTTGGTGTTGGTGTTGGTGTTGTTGTTGTTGTTGTTGTTGTACTAAGTACTAAGTACTAAGTACTAGCTTGTTAACTTGCCCTTGCTTCGGCCCTCTGGTCGGTGTGTTTGGGCATTCGCCTCCGCACGCCAGGTGCGTGGCCTCCGAAGCATGCCGGTGTGGCCGCGCGCGACCTGGAAGGCGTTCGCGGACCGTCGCGCGTCCGCCGGGTCGCGGGTCACGCCTTTGCGGCAGAGGTGTCGCCGGTGTCGGGTGGCACAGGTGAGGTACGTTCTAAAGCTCAGCTGTGATGCCAAGCAAGGAGGTCCTAGAACACAGCTCAGGTGTCTTCCTCCGCCCAGTGACCAGTGTCAGAGAGTCAGAGAGTATCGGGAATGTTGAGAGAAGAGGCCGCCTGGACGTCGACGAGCTAGGAGTCCGGTTGATCGTTGACTTGGTTGTAGAAAGTGGCCCCCCTAAGAAAACGAAGAGTGAGGAAGCCAGCTAGCTTTTGGGCATTTGCCCAGCCACCTGCAGATCTCCAGGTGAAAAGAAGAGGGTGCTGCCAGGATCCTCCAACAGGTCTTTAGTTTTTCGGCTTGTTGGCCCAAAGACGAGGTCTGCTGACCGGAGGGGGACGCTGCTTCCGAAGCTTCCCAAAGATTCTGCCGCAGGATTTGCCCATTTGCAGCCTTTTAGAGGAGCACTTCCCCATCATCCAAGAGGCGAGCCCAGTCCAGGGCAAAGCTTGGGAGATCAACCGGCCGGTCTGGGTGCCCCGAGCCGGCCCCCCCTATGGCGCCCTCAGTACTTGGTTCAGTATCTTGGCCGTCACTGGACCCCTCCGACTTTTGTAGGATCTTAGAACAGCGAAAAAAAACTGGGTGCGTGGTTTCGGAGATGTTGATGTTCAACCTTTCCGCAGGATGATTGAGCCCATATTTTTCAGAGTTGAAACCAACAGCTAGAAACGCATTTCCTTTGTATCCATGTGGACCGTTCGCAGAGTGTCTAACAGATGGCAGCTCAACCAGATGAAGACTCATCCTCGCGCACCTGTTTGAGCACCCAAATCCAAGTGTTCAAATGATTTGACTACTTGGTGACCCAAGTCCAGGAATTTCCTGAACACTTCGGTGGTGGCAAAGTTGGTCGAACTGGACTTCTATAGGGTGTACCATTCCAAGTGGTGTCCCATGGACCATTAATTCAATCGTCTCACATCATGTGATCCCTGGTTGGTGTCGTGCTTTCAGTGAAAATGGCAGAGCTCTTTGAACCTCGGACCTTTGTGCAAGATGCTTTAGATTTTATGCTAAGCAGAAAAGGCAAAGGGTACTGTAAATGTGGAACTGTAACTCCTCCGGTCTTCAGCTTGTTTTCTGGTTCCTCAGCTTCATTGGCATGACGGGTTCGGGCTACTCGGCGTGTTCCGCCCACTTGCCAACTCGAACTCCCCATTTGGCGACCATTCGAGTACAGTTTGGGTCACTCCCAACATCTGTCCTTCTCAGAAAAAGAGCCCAGTCCATCCCTTCCTGGATCATCCTGTTTGGGTGTCGCACTACCCAGCCCACTGCTCTCGATCTCCAGAGACGCCCAGATGATCGGATGGTCCTGGTTTGGTCGAAACAGCCACGTGACCGCCGGGTTGGTGCCCAGGAGACCGCTAGAGCGCTGGCCAACGAAGCCACATCAGGTTTTGAGGACCAAGTCAGACACCCCAAGTCCGCCATGGGCGAAAATGTGTGTATAGATGAAAATCGAATGGAACAATGAAAAGAAACAATAGAGAAACACTTTAAGGAGTGCGTGGTTTCATGTGGCTTCTCAAGAAACCAAGCCCAGTACCCAGCGCCTCGTTGGTTCGATAAGAGGCAACAGTTCTATCAAGTTGATTCAATTTGGGGATCATAGCGTTGTCATTAGTGGGTTCCATCAGGTGGCTTGTCAGGTCAAACAGCTTCTAGCTTGCAGAAGCAGTGTGCCAGTGTGCCGCAAGAGCGCTTGCGCGCAGGATGCATACCGATTCCTCTACGAGAAGGGGGAATGGAATCGGGTTCTTCTCTACCACGGCAGAAAGTTCACTGAAGAATGCCAGATCCTTAGATGATCCTTGTTTATCCTTAATCTATGATTCAGATCCTCAATTACTAGCCTTACTGTTGACAGTTGTTTGATCAACGCCCGCCCAAAGTCTAGAGGTGCAGAACCATCCTGGTAGGGAGTTTTGATTCGTGAACAGTTGACACCAGCAGCTTCGATCTTGGACCTTCTAGGGCCATGAACCGCGGCCCTTTGCTGCGGAAATCCGACGCGACCCAGGCGACCGTGTTTTCCCCAAGACCTGTGCCCTGCTCAGGCCGGGTGTCACCAAGTCAGATTCATATTAATGGGGCAGGGCAGGTGAGGAATGAAGCAGAACTACCCACTGCTCGTTGGAGGTCCGAAGAATCCAAGAAGTGCCCAGTGGAGAAAGTCTTGCTGAGTTTGGCAATGGTGCAGATTGCACGCCTTGAGCCACGAGATATGGAGGAAAACTTGGCTGCTTGTGGTCTTTGACTTGAAGGGGCTTGAGATGTTTTAGGACAGTATCAATGGCCAGGGTCAAAGCCCCGGCCTGGGCATCATGAACATGTGCAGCAGCACCAACCAACTTTGCTGGGCAGGACCACCGAACTTGGTCTCGAAATGTCTCGAAAAAGAGGCCCAAATGGCGCAAAAGCCCAGACCCCAAATGGCCCAAACCTCTGGGCAATCCAGCGAATCTTTGGGTGGATGTTCCCCTTCGGAACAAAGGCAGGTAGTAAGGCAGGTTTGGAAGTAGAAGAAGGCGAGGTGTCGGGGCCAACCTCTTTCCATTCTGAACCAACCAGCGAAAGGGGCCAACCGAAACCATAGAGAACTGGTCCATTCCTCATGTGACTTGAAGTCACCATTAAAAAGCACGCTTCCCAGCTCAAAGCCTCTTTCTTTGATACTTCAAAAGGATGAGGTTCCCAGAACCTTGTCTACAACTTGGGGTTGTAAAATTGGGAAAGCACACCTCTCCCCATCTCTCTCTCCCCTAAGAGGCCCTAAGGATATCGCTAGAGAGGTCCCTTGTCCATCACTCGGATGGAGGAGATGGAGGGAAGTGTTGGCTTTTGTGAGATTTGATGGATTGATACACTATGCCACCAAAACAATACGTCATCACACGATGAACAGTGGGTGTTCTTTTCGTGTTTTTGATACACTATATGATACACAGGTCATGAATGTACACCCACGCCTCTGCCAGGAAGTGGCTTCCATCAAAGCCTGGCTTGCCCTGGACATCGGACCAGAATGAGCAGGCAGGCGAAACACCATGTGCAGCAAGAAATGCCTTGTGGGTCAAACATTTTGGAGCCTGCTCAACCCTACTGGTAACGAAACAAAAGTGGAAACGATATAATTTGTGCAACCCTGGGCTTTACCGTTTGAGTTTTCAGCACCCACGTCAATCCCCAAGTCCATGTCGAGGTCATGGTCATCAAGATGAAGCAGGGCACGGATGTCGCCTTGCTGCAAATGTTGCACAGCAAACATGCCGGTCGTTGCATGCAGCCACGCTGTCAGCGCAGAGTGCTACAGGCCCTGGCAGAAATGGGTACAGGCCTGCATCAGCGGATCAATCCTTGATCATTGAGAGCAGAACATCCACCTCACTATGAAGGACTGACAGAAGGTTTTACAAATATGCTTCTACCAGCAGTCACAGAGCTCGGGGTGGTGTGGCTTGTCCCATCCAGTGAGTGGAGTAGCTGGGCACCCCAACTTCCTCCAAGTTCGGCACCGCTTAGGCACCCCGACCTGTGACTGCTGGTCTATGATGTTTTGTGGAGAACAAAACATACAGGCATCCTCTTCCAGCACCATCCTGCACCATCGGATGCGGGTTGCTGTGCCCCCGGACACCCGTTCACCCCCGCAAACCCCCGGAGCACCGGAGCACTCGACCGTTCCACCGACGTCGTTTTCAGCGGTCTCCCTGGCACGGGGTTCCCACGCGCGGGTGGGGGCCGGAGCGACCAAGGTGGAGACCCATTCGGGGCCGGCCAACAACATCCTCAACATCCACCTGGGCATCTCGGGGCTGGAGGCGAGCTGAGCTGTGCAGACGACAGGAAGAGAAGGGACAAGAAGGGGCGAAGTGCGGCGAAGTGTGGAGGCCAAGAAGTGCCGATTGAAACGGATACAAAAACGGGTGGAAGCATGGTTCGGATGTTTTTTCTTGGAATTGAGTGATTGAATGGAACCCTGTTTGATGAATTGTGACATTCAATTGTGTGTAGTCGAACACCCACAGAATGTGTTGGTAAGGTGGGAACATCCACCCTCTCGGAACGTGATTTGAAAGAGGAACGGCTGACTTCAGATTCTTCAGCCGGAATTTGGGCCCTAAAGTGTTGCAATTGTTTTTTCCGGATGCTTCCCATGTTGTTGTTGTTCTCCAAGCCTCCAGGCGTCCTCCCTCCTTATCTTCTCTACCCCTTCTTGGCGCCCACGTTCCCACAGGGCGCCAAGCTCTTCGTGGCCAACGAGACCTATAGCTGGGATCAGGGCAAGGTGCGAACCGAGGAAATCCGAACGAAAACAACACGTTTATTTTTGTGGGGGGAAGTCGTTTTTGGGGGGTCGTTTTTGGCTCCAACACATGGAGCGTGTGGGACACGTTTCCATCTGACAATGTAATTAGTTTGAGAAGTAGAGACCTCTGTGTTCCACCTGGGTCAACTCCGGTTAAACCCATCAACCGGTTAGAAGCTTTGCATTTTGTATGCTCGGCCTTGCATAAAGGGTCTTTTTGCGTGACTCATCCCCCTCTTGTACACGCATCCACCCAGCGCTTGTAGACCAGCCACCGATCTGGTCTTCTCAATCTGATCTTCACGTATCTTCACCCCAAAAAACGCTGGAGCTGGAAGAAGCCGTCAGAAAGCTCCGGGAAGCTTCGGGCGGGACCTCGGGCCTGGCGGGACCTGCGGCCAACGCCTTCGGCCAACACATGCCTCCAATGTTGGAAGGTCATCGCCTGGGATGGTAGTTGAGAGCTCAGCCCTTTCAGCCGCCCTGGACTGTGGACCCGCCGTGCGTCGCAGCCGGAAATTGGAAACGAATCAAACAGCGAGGCCAGGCAGGCTGAGGTGATGAGGGTGATGTTGGGTTCGGTTTGAAGCCTTGAAAGACAGCTTTCGGGGACTGAGGAAATTAGAAGGATCTCAAAGTCTCTCAACTTCTCAGATCCCTACCGGGACCATCCTATTGGGTGTCTCATGGTGTCTCCATAGGTCTGGCTGGACTACCCTACACATCCCTAATCCCTACACTACCTAGCAATTTGCAGACAGGATGGTCCAGGGAGGTTTCATTGAAGAAACGAACGGTTTCTTATGGTTTCTTCCCCTCACGGTTTCTTCCCCTCAACTTTCTGCGGGACCCGGGACCCGATGTTTGTGTCTACGCGTCCAACGCGTCGCGGTCCGAGGCTATGACCACCGAGTTCATTGCCTAGACTGCAAGGAGACACGAGTCGGAGGCTTAAAGAGCACCATTGCCAGACCATCCATGACTGGCATATTTACCTACATTGGGGTCATAAATGGGGTAGATGTAGGCATATCATATGCCAGTCCCATGGATGGGCGTTGGATGGTGAAACATCGTGAAACAAGACCCAGGCTTCTGGCGCTGTGGCGGGGGTGTGGGTTTTTCCGAGTGGCTGTGGCTGACTTGGTGGCTGTGGCTCGGTCCATTAGGTGCCCCCAGGTGCCAGTTATTTGGGATGGGAAGAACACTCCTGGTGGATTTGTCTTAGAAAATGTGACCGTTAGAACTGCTGGTGGTGTTTATTGAATAACTGGTTGTTGCCAAAGGTCTGGTAATCAGCTGCTCCATGTTTCATAATGCGATTTGGACCAGAACATGAGTTTGGCAGTTTGGCAGTCACAACCTCTCTGTGGGTCTGAAAGAAGCCTGGACATCGACTGAGAGATGGAGAATCACCAGCGACATTCCTTCGAGTAAACGGGACACGCCATGGAATTCCACGGCGTCTCTTTGAGTTTCCCCAAGCACGAAAAGCACGAACCTTCCTTTGGACCATTGAAATCATGGGTAAGACGGTAAGACCTGAGTGTTGTAGTTCAACATCCAAAGCAGCTTTGTCTTCTTCCAGAGTCGAACCCTTAAAAATCACTGGTGGGGCTGGTGAAAAAGGCCAAGAGTTTGGGCCGTTCTTCGCGACGAAGAACCAAGACGTCACTCCAAAAGGGTCGAAGACGTAGAAGAATCGATGCGACTCAGCCAGTCGGACTGACCATCGAACTACTGCACGCGAAAATTACAACAAAACCTGGTGGGCGCTTTGGAAAGAACTGATATTATTTGACTGTTTGACCTCAACTTTACTTGACATGATGTTAGGAGCCGACCATGCAAAAAGTCGGGGCTCCGGAATCCCATTCTGCGTTCCTCTTCGTCGCCAAGAAGGGAACGCATATAAACTAATTGTTTCACACATTATAGCTACAAAATGCTACAAAATATATCTGCCTACTTCAGCTGCACCAGGACTCATAAGGATCCCACACAACTCTAAAGCTGTATCTTTTGCAGCTCATATGATTCTTTCCCCGAATCTTCTGCTTGTTTTGCACCTTCATGTCGAGGTCATCATGATGGTGAGATATATGCATCCGGACATGTCGCCGGAGCACTACAAGGCGCGAGAACACCCACCAAACCGGGTGCCGTGGCAAGCACCACCGTTGCCGAACGTGCGCAGGGACACACGAGGACACACTTCGAAGAGATCCCCATCGAGATGCAGTGAGGATCCTTTTGAATTATTTCTTAATGCGGAATTGCCCAAGGCGGCAACAGACAGCACAAAAAAAGGCCTGTGTGCTTGTTGTTGCGCAACAGCACATTGGGGCCTGAGCTTGTCTCCCTGTGAGATCACAGAGAGCAAGCATGTTCATAGAGGAGAGTTGCTTGCTGGTTCGGTCAAGTGGGATTGTTCTTGGCAATGTGGAAACGCTCTCAGACGAGGACTCATCGTATTTGATCGGCAGATTTCGGTTAAATATAGAATATAATGAAGCTTGAGTGCTTACGGCTTAGGTGGCTCAACATATATCTCAACATGCAAAAGGAATGAACTTGGTTGATTTGCCCAAGTCATTGTTTGCTTTGAGCCCTTTTTCGGGCCAGGTGAGGTTGGTTTCCCAGAGCAATTTGAAAGACTGACCATGTCAGGCGTGAATCTCCGAATGGCTTCGAAGCGGGCAGATGCCTTGAGGTGTGAATGAGGATGAGCCAACCTTGATATCCAAACAGATCGTCTGAGTTCAGTCTTTTTGTTGCCAACAGCCCATGGGCCCACTACCGTGAAAGTGTTTCTTTTACATTGTCTTTCCAACTGTTCCACCTTCAACATCTGTGGCAAAATCACCTCCCGTGCCACACAGCAGTCCGTCCTTGTTCATCACCCTCGCAGATCTCGCATCGTCCGTCCTTGCTCCGCTGGGCCCGCTGGGGTGGTGTAGCCACGAGCCACAGCCAGCCGCAGCCAGCGGTGCTTTCGGATCGAGATGGAAGTTTCACCTTCGACTTCGAAGCATCGTCGATGTCTTGATCAGCAGAGAGATCACGCTGGCGTGAGGTCCAGGTCAGGGGCATGAAGGAGGAACAGGGGCAACACATGGACACAAGGCAAGACGTCTTCAGCATTTTCTGTGCATGGCCACCAGATGGGGTGGCCCTGGTCTAGATGAGTTGGCTCTTATTTTTGTTGCGGTGAGGCGTCTGGTAGCAATGCGGTAGCAAGGCATCTCTCACAAGATCTCGCAAGGGGATAGATAGACTGGCCTACCAGCAGTCACAAAGGGGTGCTTAATGGAGGTTAGGGGTGCCCATTATCCACTCACTTAGGAACTAAACACCACCCCTTTGTGACTCCTGGTATTTTCCTTTTTCCAGAATGTCCAACTGGGAGGTCTTCCTATTTTAATACACATCTAAGATGGTTTCGGATATTGTTATTTTCCACCCTTACTTGGGGATGATTGGACCTTTGACCAATATTTTTCAAGTGGGTTGAAAACACCAACCAGACATCCATATTAGGCCCGTGCTATCCTGAGCTGCTATCGCAGCTCACACCAACCGCAGCTCCGTAGGCCATGTTCAGCGGTGCCACGCTGTTCCGATGTCGAAGACCGAAGGTGTTAGTTATGACGCTAAGCCTTGGTCAGACCCAAATCGAGCGGCGAAAAGAGAGGACGAAGCGCCGTTCCGAAGCGCGCCGTGCGTTGAGAGATGAAGAGATGGACGCCAGGTGTTCCAACAAAGAGGTGGTTTCGCCGGTTCTTGGTCTTCAATGTAAAGCGTGATTCAGTAGGCTGGGGGAACTCGGTGCTGGTATTCTCCGGCCCCCTGCCATCCTTGGCAGGAAACACACCTTTAATTTGAACCCAATTGTTTTTAAGGGTTTTCAGGCCTGCAGCTGATTTAGTGTCAGGAAGCAAAGCTAGCAGGATTGAGGTTGAAAGTTATGGTGCCACAAAAAATCGCCCACCCTCCCTCCCTGGATTGTCTGACAAGTTCCAGGCCATAGCACAGGCTGATCTAGGGTTGTTGCTTCCCAACCCAGGTGTTGGTGGTTGGACTTGGGGGGCTTTGCAGCTGCTGCATCCCACCCCACTTTGTGGCGAGCATGCGTCCAAAATACGTTTTGCTTCTTGGTCTAAAGAGAAGGGGTGTTCTAAGGTTTCCCAGATTGCTCGTGCTTGTTCTAATTGAGATTAAAGTTGAATCATACCGCTTTTGATCCCCCCAAGTGCCTTTGAGGGCCAGTTGCGTTGAGTAGTGCTCCATGCTAAAAACATCACACGTGAGACACTGGCACGCCCGAACGAGCCGTCAGACAGTGCCTGTGGTCGAATCTTCAAAAGGGTGACTTCTTCAAGAGACGAAAGGCACTCCCCCCATGCGGCCATTGGGTTCGAACGGTCAAGATGCTCTGATCAGATTCCGGCTCGGGACTCGGATCGCGGACCTGACCAGACCAGACCTGAGTAGGTGCTCAGGGCTTCCAAAAAGCAGCAAGGGTTGTGTAGACTCCTCATGACTCCTCCATGGTGTATACTGCAAATGTCAAACCAATATAGGAGGAACATGTTGCCATCGACATGTGGGAGGCCACAAGTAGCATTGAGAAGCAATCATCACGATAGTATCGTACTTGAGAAGGCATCCCAAGATGTGCAAACCCAACTGAAGAATGCGTACTTGGACAAAAACGCCCAGCGCCGTCGGGCACCGTCGGGCACCGTCCGCTCCAAAAATCAGATTTGGGTGCCCAAAAAACACCGTCCCGCGTGAGGGATTGGTCTTCAGCCCAGATGAGGAATTAACTTGGGATTCGGAATGTGCATCAGATGTGTTGTCCGGCCTTTTGGCACAGGGATGGAAAACCATGGACAGGGATGGAAATTCCAAGTAATCCACAAATTGGCACAAGGATTCTGTAGATTGGGCAAGCCCATGATTTTATCATCGTTCATCAGTGAAATGGTGTTTTTGTTTATATAAGAATTGGTGTTCATCATGATGAACAGCAATTTCATGTTTATACACCAGCAGTATCCAGCAGTCACAAAGGGGTGCCCAGAACATCCACTCACTGGATGGGACAAAACACCACCCCTATGTGACCCCTGGTATGTTTTATAATGATTCTGTACCAGCACCCTCCAACAGGTGCTTCCTGGTGACAAGTCCGGTCGGTGCCCAGGTTCACCAGCTGTTAGGGTCTCTAAACAGCCTGACCAAAAGAATACCACCCCTTGGGGGTCCTGGTAGATGTCCAACACTTCACCTGTTTTTTCGTTGGAAGGTCATGCCGTCGCACGCACTTTTCGTCACGCGCATTTTGTCAGGCCGGTTTCATGGCCTGGGAGAGGCAGGATGAAGTGAAGCGGCAGAAGTGCTGGCGTTCTTTTTCGGCAGAGCGCCATGTGTGATGTATTTTGTTTGTGGGTCTTTGTGGTGGCAGTTGTTTGTGTATTGTGTTTTGTTTTTTTGTAGTAACTCGTATGTCTTTTTTCTCGCATGTTTTTGGATCATGAGGCTTTGGACTGTGCATGATCTTAACGACACGTAGTGCATCTCGCTATCCACAAGAACGAGGGTCACACGTTTGGGTTTGAAGTAGACTTTGCTCTAGTCCGAGATCAAGTCCCCCAGATGAAACACTGTGTTTTCAACATGGTGTGAAGAGGGAAGACAGGACTTTTGTTGATGTGATGCAGATCCCATGGAACTCTTCAGTGAAGAATTGTCCCCAGATCCCATCTTCAGCAAACTTGGGCATCGATCGAGCGTTCATGTCATGTCCCTCCGAAGCACGAAAGAACACACACCTTGCCTTTGGGGGTGACCAAGAGCGGCTTGATCAACACCTTCTTGAGATCTGTGACCTGAGTGGAACTGGCAGTCACTGAAATCGCCTGAGAACCCGCTGGACACATGTGGGGCGACCCAACGGACGACTGTCCAATCATGACCGAGCCCGACGGGTAAAGTGGGCTATGGCATTTTATGACTGCCAGGCTGGGGTAGTTAATGAGTCCAGGTCCGGAAGTTCAGGAAACCAGCTCAGCACGGAAGTTCACCGAGCGCCACCCGTGTGTCGGCGCGAGGCTGGAGGAGGCCGTTGAGGCTCAAAAAGGCCATGGCTGGTGCGGGGCCTTAGAGGTGGTTCGAGCCAAGCTGAATGACGAGGGTGTTCCAAGAAACATCAATCAAACCACCCAAGGGGCCTACGGCGGCCTACGGTAACCAGGAGCTAGAGGGAAGATAGACGATCAGATAGACCCTTCTGCCTATATATATCCTTCTTTCCGACCACCCACACTGGCTGGTGCTGGAAAAGACAACATTCATATTGACGTGAGGAAATCCACCAAAGATGGGAAAACCGTTTTTTCCCGACAAAAGACGTTTATTTTGGGGAACTGACATTTTTGTAGGTTCTTTGGTCTTCTGGTAATGATCTAACCATAGACTTAGACCTGAAGCAGCGATTCCGCACCACCCGCGAGTGAAGCTCCCGTGCGCCCCCAACCCGCGTGGTCTTGCTCACAGCCAGGGCTGGTCCATTGTGCGCCGTCGAAGCTCCTGAAGGCAGGGAGAAGGAGCCCTCCGGGAGGATGGCCCCCCATGTCTGGCAGGATCCGCCGATCCGCCCGGTGGGGTGTGCCATCTGTTTGGGGCATGAAACGGACGAAACCGGTTGCTGTTTATCAAGTTACAAGATGGTTGGGGCATGAAACTCACCTTGAACGCGGGAGATGCATCCAGGGAAAAAAAGACAGTCAAGTGTAAGGATATGACGTGGGCATGGAAAAAAATACCATTGATCACCGCCATTGTCATGAGAAAACCCATCGAACACCCGACAATGGCGCGTAGGCGAGGAACTGCTGCTCATGGTGTCGATCCTCAGGATCCGAGCAACGCACGCGACTGGCGCGACCGGTTTCGGCGCGCGGGTTCGGCGCAGCTCTGGGCATGGCTCCCACCACCCAAGAGCTTCAAGGAGCCGGCGCCGTGGGCGTGGGTTCAGTTCCACGGAAGAGTGCAGTGATTCATTGAGCCAAATCTAGTACTGATCTTGAGTGCTGATCTGGCTTCCCAAATCTCGTAGTGATTCGTTATGATTCGTTGGCTTCCCTGGTACTGATCCTTTGAGCCACATCGATCATCGACAGCAGATGGACTAAGCGCTGTCCTTTCCCAGCACGCCCACGAAAAAACACCCGCTTCCAGTCACTTCCAAGGAACCTCCACCCAAAGCATCCGCCCAGACATCACACCAAAAGTATCCATTCACTGAAGAACGAACACGTCTTAAGTCGTCTTAAGTTGTTTTCTGACCCAGACCATCCCCCCCAAAACCATCCTGAGAGACCCAACACCTTCTTTCGCCCCCTCGGTCCGTACCCTTCGAATGCTTCGGACCCGCACCGA